CCTCTGGTCCCGGTGGCAGGGGTCTCCCCGCGAGAGGGACCGAGACTGGCTGCTGTCCCTGCACCCCAGGGACCATCAAATGATTGCTAATATCCCTACAATGAATACGCACGGCAGGTAACATCCTAGCCTGTTGGAGCATAGGAGTTTTGACGTTGAATCTGCTGTGCTAGGAATTCACCCTGTCCTTGTATCCAGCTTAACTTTCCCTTTCCTCCATTCCAGACAGACAGGACCGCCCTGCACTGGGCTGCCGGAGCCGGGCACGAGCAAGCTGTGCGGCTGCTGCTGGAACACGAAATCCCGGTGGATGATGAAGACAGTGTATGAGTGTGACTCTCCTTTGCAGCCTGTTGCAGGTTGTCAGCAGTGGTTGGGAGGGTGGGATTTGGCCTAATTTCAGTGGAGAGCGGGTAGAAGGCAGGGGATCAGTCGCTCCGGAGGCGGAAGGGGCCTTAGCCATGCCAGCTTCCTTCTGACTGTGTCCCTAGGCACTGGGAGTGAGAGAGTCATTCTGATTCCATACAGTCCTTCACCTCTCTGGGTGCTACACAGCTGGACCAGCTCAGCTGGTGGTTTGTGGGACTCGTCCGCTAGGGAGCAAACTCGGTTCCAGATGGGAACAGCCATGCCAGCAGATAGGAACGACTTTCTGCCAGCGGGCGTGAGGTGCTTAGCTGTCCCTGATGTTGCTGGCCCCAGAGCAGAGGTCGTGGCGACGAGACAGGGAGTGAGGGCCAGGAAACATGGGCAGCATTTTATTTATTTTCCTTGGCCATTTTGAAGAAGGCCCCGCTGCCATGTTTGGTGGGGTGGGTGGGGGTGGAGCAGGGCTCTCACTGGAGGCCAATGACAGGGAGTGAGGGCCAGGAAACATGGGCAGCATTTTATTTATTTTCCTTGGCCATTTTGAAGTTTTGACGTTGAACATGTTTGGTGGGGTGGGTGGGGGTGGAGCAGGGCTCTCACTGGAGGCCAATGCTCTTTGCTTTGACACAGTTCGGGATGAATGCCCTCCTCCTCTCTGCATGGTTCGGCCATCTGCGCGTTCTGCAGATCCTCGTGAACGCCGGTGCCAAGATCAACTGTGTCAATAAGGTGAGGCAGCTTCCTCATGGGCCCTGACGTCAGCTAGTTATTGCCAGTAAGTGACAGGGAGAGAGGGCAGGTGGAGGGGTGATTTCAAACTAATCTCCTGGGTGTAATTACAGTGGGAATAACCTGGGCGTGCTGAGAAAACAGGAACGAGGAAATGACTAGAAAACCCAACCTCGCGGGGCGTCTACACTGAGCAAGGAAGCTGTTGCAGGGGCTGTTTTTGACCACAGAATGCGTGTGCACGGAGCACAGTGGTTGACACGCCTTCTGAAGCCTCTCACAGTTCTAGCACTGTTACGTCTCCCCCTTTACGTGATCCCATTGCCGTCCGTGGTAGGAATGGAAAAATGTAAAAAAAAATTATTAACCGTGTAACCGATAGAATTTATATCGGTTGCATGGTTAGCCACCACCCTCTGGCGGGTTGCCACGGCTCCTGGGGCTGCCACAGCTCCCAGTTCCACGGATCTGCCGGAACTAGTGCTCTCAGAGCTGCTGGCCCCATGTGGACGCTGGGTTTGCTGCGACTCCCAGGGCCACAATGTTGCCAAGGCCACCATGGCTCCCACAGCTCCTGGCAGCCCTATGAAGAACTTAACTGGTGCTGATAACCAGTAAGCATTAGCTTATTGGTTAACTGGTTACCCGGTTAAACCCATAGTCCGTAGACCTTTCACTCTTATAGTTCATTTTTGTAATATTATATAATGAATTTATGCATGGACTTGAGTTGAGTTCCAGGCCTTCCCTCCCTGCCACGGGAAATAAACTCGTCCAGATCTCCCCACAGTCGAAAGGTGTAGCAAACCCAGGGTAATATGACTGTCTGACTTCTGAGCTCTATCTCTTGCTGCCGCCACATTCCCCAACACCCCGAC